TCGCCATCCCCGGGGGGCTGCCATCTGCGAAACTGTCGCCACTTTCGAGGGCTGCTTGGAGGTCCAACAGATTGACGCCTTAACCAGACCCAAATGAGACCTCGCCATCCCGGGGGGCTGCAATCTGCAAAACCGTCGCCACTTCCGAGGACTGCTGGGGGCCCAGCGGAGCAACGTTTTATTTTGCCAACGTTCAATGGGGATCTCGCCATCCTGGGGAAGCTGTGATCTGCAAAACGGTCGCCATTTTCGAGGGCCGCGGGAGGGCCCCAGCGGGGTGACGTCTAATCCATATTCGAATGGGACCTCGCCATCCCTGGGGGGCTGCGGTCTGCGAAACTGTTGTAATTTTCGAGGGCTGCTGGGGGGTCCAGCGGAGTGAAGTCCCACGCGGGCCATCCGGAGATTTTGCAATGTTGGGGGGGCTGTGATCTGCGAAACGGTCGCCACTTTCGAGGGCTGCTGGGGGGTGCCGCGGGGCGGCGCCCCACGCGGACCATTCGAAACCTCGCCACCCGTTGGGGGCTGCGAGTTGCGAAACTGTCGCCTCCTCCGGCGTTTGTTGGAGGGCGCAGCGGGGCGACGCCCCGCGCGGACCATTAAGAAACCTCGCCATCCCTGGGGGGCTGCGATTTGCGCAAGCGCCGCCTCTTTCGAATGCTGCTGGGGGGTGCAGCGGGGCAACGTCCCGCGCGGACCATTAGGAAACCTAGCCATCCCTGGGGGGCTGCGATCTGCGAACCGGTCGCCACTTTCGAGGGCTGCTGGGGCGCGCCGCGGAGTGGCGTCCTAGGTTGCAGAAGTCGTTCGGCGTGGGCAGCGCGCAGGATGCGCGCGGTAATGTGGGGCATGGGCACAGCGCGCTGGCGGTCGCAGAAAAAGCGCCCGGCGCGGGCAGCGCGCAGGATGCGCGCGCAAATGTGGAGCATGGCGGCTGGCGGATTCAGCGCGCTGGCGGCGGTCGCCCCCCCAAAAAAACACACCCGGCGCGGGCAGCGCGCAGGATGTGCGCGCAAATGCGGGGCGTGGAGAAACGTGGGAATGAGACGTGATTCAGCGCGCTGGCGGCGGCCAACCCGCTGGATTCAAAAGTGGAGACCGCGGGGGTCGAGGAAGACACGGCTGGCCCCCCGTTCGGCCACGGGCCCCCTGGACAATGTTGGAGCGGTGGGGCCGATTTGGGAATTTCAGATGCATCTCCCACCCATTTCGAGTATTAGAACGGCCAGGTGGGGTCACTGTCTGAAACTGCGATTCCGCCCAAGATTTCCTCAAACAAACTTCAGATCGCCTTCCAGGGCTATCTGGAATTTTGCTATGGCATCTGAAAGTGGCGATTTCGCGTGGGACTTCCTCAGAAACAGAATCCGATCGATCTTCGTGCCGTCTGAGAGTGGCGACATCGCCTGAGAATTCCTCGCGGGGTATTTTCCGGCCGCTTTTCACGCCGCCAGAGAGTGGCGTCTTCGTTTGGGTTGTTCTAACAACCGCGCGTCTCGTCCACCCCTGAGTCGCCGTTCCTCCGTTCGGGTCTCGAGTCTGGTTGGGGGCCATCTTGGGATCGATCGAAGGTCGAAGCTTGAGGTTCTATCGATTGGCGAAGACCCAGGGGTTGTTCCCTCGCAAAATGCTGACCACTACATTTTAATCCAGGGGGCGGTACGCCTACCATTCGGAGACTTCGCCATCCTTAGGGGGCTGCGAGTTGCGAAACAGTCGCCGCTTTCGAGGGCTGCCGGGGGGTGCAGCGGAGCGACGTCTTTCGCGGACCACGCGGAGACCTCGCCACCCTTGGAGGGCTGCGATCTGCGAGACTGTCGAAATTGTCGAAGGTTGCCGGGGGGTGCAGTGAAGTGACGTCATACGCGGACCACGCGGAAACCTCGCCATCCCTGGGGCCAGCGTAACGACGCCTTTCTGCATTACTTTGGCGTTGTTTCGAGTTCTGGGGTCGTCAGGAAGGAAGCGAGCAGAGAAGCCGGCGGGCGAGCGAGGCTTCGCTTCTGGCGCTAACTGGAAGCAGGTTCGATCATTTTGCCGAGCGCCGCGGCGACCTAGCACAGGCAGCGCTGCATATTTAGCGTACCGCCGAGAAGAAGCAACAGTCTTCCGCCTCCTCTCGTCATTTTCGTCGTCGTCCTCTGCCCCCTGCCACCCTCCCCCTGCTGCTGCCGCGCTGACGGTTCGGCCCCCCGCGCGTCCTTTTCCTGTCCGTCGTTCCCGCTTCCACGTCCTCCTCGAGCCTGGGCCATCGCTCCTCGCCCCTTTGTTGTTGCCCTGTGGGCCGCGATGCGTGAGCGCATCCCATGCAGCTTGCGCGACAACGGCGCCTGCGCTGTCATCGCCTTGGCAAGTTTGGGTCAACTCCTCTTGTAACTTGATGCAAATGGGTTGGGTGCGTCGCAGGGGAATCTTTACATTTGGCGCACCAGCAAGCGGCTGTCGCCTCACCTACGCCTGAGCGCGGGACTGGTGGCGCGGCTCTTTTGCTTCTTGTTCCCCCCCCCCCTCTGCGGCGCAGGGCCCTGCCTTGGGCCGTCGCGCTGAGCTGGTTCCCGGCCGCGCGCAGCGCCTCCTCATCGAGGCTATCGCCGACGATGGCGCTGATCAAGCTGGCGCTGAGGGGCTACCCCAGCTCTTGATGGGCATGGCGGTCGTCTACAACATCCACCACTACCAGCTCACGCCCGAGCAGGTCCAGAAAACGGTGGGATCGCTCCAGGCGGAACTCTGCCTCGCCGCGGCCCACCCAGAGCGCGCCACTATTCTGGTCATGGGCGACTTCCATCTAGTGGACGAGGCCCCGCTGGCGATGCAGATCCCGCCCGTGAGCAATCGGTTTCCTCGAGGGCGGCGCCGCGACCCCGAGCGCCAGAACACTTGGCAGACTGCCTTCGAACTGATGATAGAGGTCGACCCTGAGGCCCCGGCCCTCTACGCGGAGCGGACGCAGCAACGCGCCGGGACCGACGAGATCTACATCAGCACCCCGCTGCGGATGCTCATTCAATGGCGCGCGAAAGCGGGTTTCCCGCTTGCGCCCGGGGAGCTGCTCGACCGCAGCATCTCGGACCACGTGCCTGTCCACCTTCAACTGGTTTCCCGCAGCCCCGAGGAGGACTGGGCCGCCCGGCCCATCCCGAAGCACATATGGGAACACCCGCTGTTCGACCACTACTTCGGCGTGCTCCGTCAGAACTTCAGTTGGAAAGTCTTGCCTTCCCCGCCCAGTTCCGCGACATCCGGCGTCTACAACGCGAAGCAATTCGCCTCGCTCGCATTGGCCCGACTGACGCGAAGTCCCCTGGCGCCGCGGCTGCGTTCATTGTTTGCAGAGCCATCTCGAGAGCGGTTCTGCGCAATGACTGGAAGGCGGCCAAGACGCTGCGCGCGAGGGCGACCCTTGGGGCCGAGTTCCTGGACATCGCCGGCCAGCTGAACATCGCCATCATCGGCGCGATCGCTTTCCAGAGGATGTTCGAAGCCTACCACAAGGGGTGCCAGGGCCAGAGAGAGGAGGCCATTCACGCCGAAGCACCTGCCAGGGCCAGGGGCATTCCGCACGCATCGGGCTATCCAGATAAGCATCAAGCTCTGGGCCCCGACGGGCGCAGCATCCCGGAATTGCAGGCCATCGATGTGCTACGCGACCATTCCACCACGACCTCCGCTGACGAGAGGATATCCGACCTTAGGCGCCAATGGTCACGAGTATTGCAGGCCAGACCGAGCCTCCCTGAACGCGTTCGCCGATGCTTGAAGAAGCGCGCTACTCCCTTGCAAATGCGAAGAGATAGCGATACCTACCCTGGCCCTTGGCCAAGATGAGTCGCCTGATCAAACGCTTTAACAACTCGGCCCCTGGGCCGAATGGCTTTCCTCACGTGGCATGGAAGCGTGCTCCCATGGCGGCGCAGGTCCTGCTGAACGTCGCCGCCGATATCGTGGAGGGCCCCAACGAATCGCAGCCGATCTTCACTCCCAAGGAGGTTCGGGGCCCGAGGGGGGCCAGACCGTGAAAGGGCTGGCAAAGGCGACGCGAGCACCCTCCTTTTAACGAGGTTCGTGCCGAAACGCCCCTTCAACCAGCGCGCGGTCACGATGGGCTCGCGGCCCCGCGCTGCGGTGCTCAACCAGGGCTGCCGACGCCGACACCTTGACGGTCAGGTTTGTCTTCGGCGACGCTTTCCCCTCCATGTGACGCGCCTTCCCCTTCGCGGTGCTGGAGTTCGCTGGCTCCCCCGTCAGCGCCACGAACATGGTCGACCCTATCTACCTTGTCCCCCCCGACCTGTTCCAGCTTGAGCGGCGACCTCCAGGTCGTCTGCTGGCTAGCCTCGTGAATCTCGCAACGGCGCCCCAGGACGTTGACGCTGCGGGCGCCCGGCCTGGGCCCCCTGGCCCGCTTCGACCGCGCCCGCCGCCCCGAGCAGGCCGCGGTCGAAGTCTGCGCGGGCGAGCTCCAGTCGAAGAAGCCCCTGGGGGGCGCGCCCCCCCCCCCCCCCCCCCCCCCCCTGATCCAGATGAAGAAGCCTCCGAGCGGCGCGTTCTACGCGGCCGAGCACATTGCCCGGCTAGTTTTCACCCCGCTCGCGGAGGAGTGCCCCGATAGGTCTGAGCCGCGTATCCGAGCCAAGCTGCGCGCCCTCATCCCGTGCTGGAGCGGCATGCAAGTCGCCCCCTTCGCGGAGTGCATTGGCGCGCCCCTGGGGCCCGCGGCGAGCGGCGGCACGCGGCGCAGTGGCTGATGGCGATTGGGGCCGGCAGAGGGTCTCCAACCTTGCCGCGAACACTGGCGCGCCGACGAGCACTTCGTTGACGCTCCACAACCCGCGCGCGGTGTCCAAGGCGTCCTACCTGAGCCAATTTCTCGACTGGGCCGACCGCCTCAAGCGCCACGAATCCTCGGTGCTGCACCGCGCGCGGCATCTCCCGCGCGTGGCGTCTCCCACGATGACCTACTGGCCCGGGGGCGCTGGTCGCCGCTGAAGCCGACCCCCATGGGGCTATCCAACCTGGTGTCGACGATGCGCAGTGCCAAGGAGACCATCGCGAATTGGGCCCTATGGATGCGACGCCTGCGCAGAGCGAGCACAGAACGCATGACCTGCGAGCTCTGCCGCACCTCCCTGTCCGCCCCCCTCTTCTGGAAGACGCAGCCGATCGCCTTGGACCTCGAGGAGGCAGCTTGCGGGCACAAGGGCCAGGAAAAGGCCGTGACGGAGCCCTGCGTGAAGGCACTTAGTGAGCGGCGCCAGGAAAATCGTGGCATCCTGGCTGCGCGTCTCCGCATTCAGTGCTTTATCATGTCTTCCCTTGTCTCCGAAGCATTCCACATCGCCGGGGAGGCCTCCGGCGACCATCCTACATCGCAGTCCATCAAGGAGTTCTTCGAGCGTGTGGATGCCGACCCCGAGTGGCACTGACCGACGGGGGGTCTCCGCGGCCGGAAGCGCGCCCTGCGGGGCCCGAAGCAGACCGCCATTGCGGCGGCGGCGAAGCGTCTGAAGAAGCAAGGCGAGGAGCACACGTACGCCGCCATCGCGACTGCGCGCCCGTCGCGGAACGCGCTGGACGACGCGCCCGAGCGGAGGCGGCTGGATTTTGCGAAGCACGTGATATCTTTATCGCGCAGGCCGCAGTGGTACTACGACAATCTCGCGCGGTGTGACCTCTGCAACTCTGTCCACCCTCGGGCTCAGAAGACGGCGCAAGACGTGGCGCTTGCGCGGAGGGGGAAGAAAGGATGGATGAGCAAAGGCTCTCAGGCGCAATCGCAGCACCTCCGCGGCCCCAAACGCCACCTCAAGTTGAATAGCTCTGACGCGGCGCGGGCGCGGCGGGTCCCGGTCTTCGCGCGCGGGAAGCTCCACATCGAGCCGCTGCCTGGCGATTTCCTTGGGGAGACTCCGCTAGGGGCCGAGATCATGGTGGCGAAGGTGCGGGCTGCTCTAAATGTGCGGTTTCCCGGGGGCGGCCGGCTGCCTCGCGCGCTCGCGGACCGTGGGGGCGGCATCTGCAGCGCCGGCTCGGGGGCAATCGCCGAGGAGTACCGCGGGGCGTTGCGGCGCCACGACCTGAGGGCATTTTTCCCCGCGGACGTTTCTGCGCTGCCCAGCCAGCTCCAGCAGGTCATGCCCCGCGAGACCGCGGCGTCGTGGACGCGGGACAGGCACGCGAAAACGCCCCCGATGCGGTGCTGGGAGGAGACCTCGGAGGCGCACCGCGCCCGGCTGAAGGCCTGCGCGGCGCAAGTCAATTGCGCCTGTGACGTCGACGGCCTGCGCCGCGAGCTGCCGCCCAGAGTGAAGGACCTGGACCGCCGCCGGGGAGACCGCCTCGCCAAGTGATGCGGTTCGCTGAAAAATAGCGCGTGCCCAATTTAAGGAAACTTTCGCACCTGTCCGATGGGGGCCGACGCAGTGCGACGCAGATCAGCGGGGTTCCTTGCGGGAAATTGTCAAGTCTCCCCCTTTTCCGCGGCCCCGCGGCCCCGCCGGCGCTTTAAAATGCGCGGGCGGGCGACGAGCCGTCGCCTCCGCAGGTCTTCGTGGGACCAGAGCAGTGCGATTGGCTGCCTGCTTTGTGAGAGCGGGTCGGCCATCGACCCAATGAAACACCGCGCGCACTGCTCGCCCCTGTGGTTCGCGATGCGTTTTGCAAGGCATGTCCGCGCCCCAGCCTCTGAGCGTCTGCTCGAGCGCTGCGGCCCGAGTGAAGGCGAGTCCGAAGCGGCTCGCAGACTGGCGCGTGAAAAGGGCGATCATTGCGTTCCACGCGTGCAACATCTTGGCAGGGCGGGCCCCCGCAGACGCGATGAGGACGTCAATGGCCCTGGGCAGCGCCCGTGCTGTCAGGGCTATGATATTCTAAACATATACTGTGCTTGCGTAGGCCCCCAGACCTTGCGGGCGCTTCTGCGCGCGAGGGGCACTGCGTGCGCCGCCTAGATTGCGCCGCCTAGATTGCAATAAGTTACGGTTCGGAGCCCATGCTGGCTTACATTCAGCATTATCATGACTGCGTGCCGACCCGGTTTCAACATTACATAAGTATTGCAAGACGAACCAGGCGAGTCCCAACAGTGGTATCAGGCAGCCCCAAACGTTTGTCAAGGGTTTCAACAGTCAACGAAATTTTCGATTTCGATCACATCCGAGCGTTTCAGAGGTTTCAAGTGCCATGGAAGTCTCGGCGCCGAGGTTTTAAAGACCCTCGGGGCCCTTGGCGCCAATCAGATCCGCGCGTCTCATGAGACCCCAACGTAAGGCGAAACCGTTCGCGATGACCGCGCCCGCGCGCTTCAAACAACTCATGATTTTTTCGAAAGCTAGCCGCCGATCACATCCACGCTCTTCATATGGCCCAACACTGTCGCGACACCATGGGTGTCAACCGCATCCGCGCTCTACGCGAAACCTCCTAGGGGCGCGGGGCCTTCGGCGCGTCTCGCGAGGGCTTAGTGCCTAAGGTGGCGATAGCACCAATCCGACTCAGTGACGCGGTGAGACGACGACAGAAATGCCCAGCCAACGACCCGCAACCCGCCGTATGCACCCGAAACCCGTATTCGCGACTTGCGACGCTGCCAGTCTTCGCGACGGAAGTCCGCGACCTGGTCTTGCGACGCGCTCCCGCAATCCGCGCGCGCGACGCGCGCGAACGCGCGCAACTCGCGCGGGTGATCCGCCCGTGACCCGCAATTTTTTTGCTCATGCGCAGGTTGGCAAGCAAACGCGTCAGTTCGCAATCATGTAGGGAGTCAAGCAAACACGCGTGCACGAGTGGTTGCGCAGCAGGCGCACAGTACTGATGTCACCCTCATGAGGACGCTGCGAAGAATTGTGAAGAATATACTGTAGTAGGTGTCGATACCGTTGGCCTGCTTGTCGCCTCCAGATGGCTCCCAGAGGCCCCAGTTGGAGCCGAAACGGGCTGAACAGCGCTTTTGGGGAGCCCGACGACGGCTCAGGACGACCCAAAGAAAGGCTGCAGACGGGCCATCAAAGCCCATAGACGACCGAAGGGAGCCCCAAGGGACTTCTGGAGACCCAAGATGGCGAAAAGTTGGGGCATGATGGCCCACGCAGATCACATGGTGGCGCCAGAGAGCCCAGGACGGCCCAAGAAGGGCCCCGAGTGGCCAGGGGGGTTCAATCGCAAGTCTGCGTCAGCACGGTGGCGGTCAGACTGTTGCGTCAAGCGTGCAACATGACAATACGTAGCATGATGAGGAGGGGCGTCGCAGGTCAACGCAAATTCCAACGACGTGATGATCGTTGGTCTGATCGGCCGGCAGTCCACCCACAGCGCCCGCCTCAGCCGCTCCAGCGGCGCCCCACGGCGGGCGAGGGGGGACGAAAGAGCTGGCGGGAGTTGAGGGGGAAGATTGGTCGTTGTGCCCGGGCTAGGCTGCACGGCGCCGCGCGCGCGGACGGCGCCCAGTACCCGCCGTTGGGTTGCAGCGGCCAGGGCCAGAGGGCTTGCGGCAGCGCCACTTGTCAGGTCCAGCGCAGGACCAGTTCTGAAGCTCTGCAGAATCTGTCGTTGTGATTCGGATGCTCCGTCGCCACGGCTGGATTCTCCTCGAAGCCCCAGTCGGGGCGGCGCTCCAGGACATGTCCAGGGGGAGCGATTCTGAGGAGAGCATTCCATGCGAGTCGCATGGGTCAGCCATCGGCATCATCACAGATCATCACAGACACCCTCAGAGCTTTGTGAGCGTATGGGAGAGTTTGGCGGACGGGGAGCAGTGATGGGGCGCGTGGCTGCTGAGGAATGGAAAGGGAAGGGGGAAGGGAAAGGATGGATGGCGATTTGCGGTAGGATCCTAGACGTCACGATATTGCTCATGATCGCCTAACTGTTTTGAATTTCTCCGTCCCCAGATTTAGATATGTTAGAACATGAGGAGTGTTTATGTGTCGGAATTGCAAGGTTTATCCGTGCACGATGCCTACACGCTCGGGCTGATCAAGCACGTGGTGAACAGGTTCACGGGTCGCACATTGCTTATGAGGCCATCGATTGGGGGAGTACGGGATATGGAAGTAGAGGAACGCCCGTCAATGATCGTTCTTCTTTTGATTGCTTTGATCTGATTGCGTTTCAGAGAGATGTTGTCCGATCCCTGCAGGAGCGCGAGGCCGTTGGCGGGAGCTTAGGCTGAGCCCCATCATCCTCGGGATGCTTGGGTTTGGGCAGGGTGTGCTCCCCATTGGGGGGGGGCATCTCCTAGCATAAGCAGCATGAGCGTCCGTCGAGGGGCGTTTGCTAAGCAGTCCTGCGTGTTTGCTTAACAGCCTTGTCCTTTGGAACTTCTCCTTCAGGTGCGTTTGCCAAAAGGGTCTCGCTTGTAGGGGTGGTCGTCGTGCGGGTGGTTCCGCTCTCCAGTCCTTCAGCTCTACCTCAATGTGATGGTGGGTGGGGCGGGAAGGCGCTGATCTCGGCCAGACTTGCGGGGGGCCGAGGGGCCGGAAGCCCTTGGCGCTCCCCGCGCTTGCCCCGTCCCCTCCGAGAGCGCCAGAGCGGGACAGCCGTCCTGCGCGGCCCCTTGGATACCTGTCCCGGGGCGCGCCTTAGCCAGAGTCTCGAGGCGGATCCAGCCGTGGCGACGAGGGCGCCCCCAGAGGGCCAAGAGGGGCCCAGGAACGGAACAGGGCAATCCACAACGATCCCCGAGCCCCGGACAAGCGCCCGAAGCCGAGCTGTGCACGTGCAGGAGGAGGCATCGAGGGCCGCAGAGCCTCGGCAGCGAAAGCGAAGGCGCGACCGCAGACGAGCACTCGGCAGGGATCACCAGGCCGTGCTGGTTGCGCAGGGCAGCGGGCGATGCTGCACGAGGTCGGAGGGGAGGAGCAGGAGGACCCCAGACACCCGACATGCACGGTTATGCGCCCGCGCAGCGCACAACAGAAGGAGCTGGAGGAGGGCGGCCATCTCCACGCCACGCCCCTCCACGCTTCGCCCCCGCACGCCCCCTCCACGCTCCTCCACGTCTCCCCCCCCCCTCTCCGCGCCCTCCTTCCTCCTCCCCACCCCACTTCTCATGCTCCCCCCCTCTTCTCCCCGCCCCGGCCGCACCCTTCGGGTTTAAAGTAAGAAAAGAACAGCGGCCACCAGCGCCTCGCCGACTCATCCCGCCACGCTCCTCGACGCCGCGCACGCCAGGTGTCGTCCGTCTCTCTCTCTCTCTCTCTCTCTTTCGCTTTTTCTCTATCGAGCGCCTGCCCTGCCATCTCTCCACGCAGTGTGATGGCGCTCACACAGGCAGGCACTGCCTGCACGGCCGAGGCGCTAGTCTGTGACATGCGCCTCGCTGAACTCGTAACCTCGTAATCTCTCTCAATCTCTCTCTCTCTCTCTCAATCTCTCTCTCTCTCTTTCTTTCTCTCTCTCTCTCACACAATATATACATGTATGTGTATATCGTTCTCGCTGCTGCTCTCTCTCTCTCTCTCTTTCTGTCGCTCTGTCCCTCTGTCTCTCTCACTATCTCTCTCTCTCTTATCGTTCTCTCTCTCTTTCTCTCTCTTTGTTTGTTGATGTGTTTGTTACTCTCTCTCTCTTTCTCTCCCCCCCTCTCTCTACATTACCAAGATTTGACCTGCTCGCTTCGCTTCGCCGTTAAAATGTTTGTCGCATGACGCCAGCGAGGCGCGCCGCACTTGTCAGCCGCTAGCACCGTGTTGAGATTCGGCAAGAAGGCCCATGGGGCACACAGGGCTGATAGGACCCATAGGCTCCTCTGGATCAGAGGTCTGAAGGGCTATCCGCCGCAATTGGGGCCCAAAAGCTTGGAGCGCGGATGTGGAAAAGGGATACTTCGGGCAGCGCGATTCCTGGGAGTCATGAGGTTCCGAGAGCTCGCATTCGTCCTTGAGTTCACAGGGTTCTTCGGGTTGATGAGCTCTTCGGGCGTGGAGGCTCGTGGGGTCCTTGGCATCACTGAAGTCGCTGGCTCTTGGTTCCCATCGAGCGGGTCGTCTCATAGGGTGTGTGAGACTCGTGAGACTCATAAGGGTCATTGTGCTGATTGGGCGCATTAGGCTCATAAGGTTCAGAACGGCTCGGGTCATAAGGTTCATAGGGCCAACGGGGCTCATAGGGTCCATAGGGTTCATTGGGTTCATAGGTAGCGCGGGCCGTGAGGCCCATGAGGTTAATAGGGCTCATAGGGCTCGTATGCCTTGCGAGGCCAAATTACAACACAGAGCCCACAGGATCCATTGGGCCAGTACGGCTCATAGGGCTCGTCGGGCGCATATGTCCCATAGGGTTTATCGGGCCCGTGGACCCCCCAGGGGTTATAGGGCTCATCGGGCTCACAGGGCTCGTAGGGCTCATACGG